TAGTCGCAAAGGCTTCTGGGAAGATGGTGGACAGCTCCGGCCTCGCCCTGTTGCCGGCAAAGCAAGGCCTAGGCTTTGAGACTTGCCTCTGGGTTACTGAACCAAACTCCTTAAGTTTTTAATGCATTTGTGCACGCACGTGTGTGTATGTGCGCGTGCACCTTCCCACCACACCACACACACACATACAACACACACACCCGCACACACACAGACACACCACACACGCATACACACACACACATACACCACACACATGCACGCACACACACATACACACACCACATACACGCACGCACGCACGCACACTCCCCCCACCACACACACACACCCCACACACATACCACACATGCGTACACACACCACACACGCGCGTTAACACACACATACATGGACACACACGCACACAGACACATACACAGACCACACACACCACACACACACCACACACAATCGTGCACACACACATACACGCACACTCACATATACACATACATACACACACCACACACGCACGCACACACGCACACTCCCCCCACCACACACACACATACCACACACACACAGACACACACATACATACACTACACACACGCGTGCACACATGCACACACACATACACGCATACACACACATACACACACTACACACACCACACACACGCACACACACACACACACTCCCCCCACACCACACACACACCACACATACGCACACACACCACACACACACACTCCCCCCCACACCACACACACGTCCATACACACTACACACTCGCACACCACACACACATACACACTTCACACACATACACGCACACACACCACACACTGGCACACACGCACACCACACACATGCGTGCACACATGCACACACACACACACCACTACCACCACCACCAGGCTCTTAGAATGACCCAACACCTGTTACACCCCGCTGTTCTGAGCACTAGTGCATGAGACCCCAGCCATGGAGTTTTAGGTTTCTGAGCTCAGGGAGTGAAGATGGGAGGTTAGCCTCACTCACTCAGGGCAGATTTGTTAGAGATGGTTCCATCTGATAAGTAATCAAGCACCTGGCAACCATGTTTTTACTATTAAAAAAAAAAAAAAGCAGCCCTCAACAACACTGAAAATGTAGTCTGTAGAGATGACATTAGGAAGAGTTTGAAGGATTTTCTGTGTTGTGTGTGAGCACAGATGAGTACACATGTGTGGGGAGGCCAGAGGACATTCTTAACCTCCACTGCTTTTGTTTGTTTTGAGATTCAGTCTGTTAGCGAACCTGGGGCTCACTGATTTGGCTAGATTGCCTGACTGGCATGCTCCAGGCATCTTCCTGTCTCTGCCTCTCCAGCAAGGTACTTACAGATTCACACTGCCCTGTCAGCTTTGTAAAGTAGATACAGGGGATCTGAACTCAGGTCCTTCTGCTCATATGGAAAACACTTTACCAGGTAAGCCATCTCTTAGCCTGTGATCCCAGGACCTTGCTGGAGAGGCAGAGACAGGAAGATGCCTGGAGCATGCCTCTCTGCTCTTTGGTAATCCTGTTCTCTAAATGGTTTTTGTTTGTTTGAGACAGGGTTATCCAGGGTGCATCTTGAACTCACTATATAGATCACTTGCCTCTACCTCTTCAGTGCTGGGATTAAAGGCATGCACCACCGTGCCTAGCTCCCTAAAGGTTATCCCCCCCTCCAAATACAGTTTCATAAAGCCCAGGATAGTATCTAATTGCTATGTAGCCAAGATTGACCATAAACTTCTAATCTTCCTGCCTCTACCTCCTAAGTGCTGGAATTACTGGCAGGTTCTCCAGTGCCTAATAATATTTCAGTGGTGCCTGAAATAAAACTCAGGGCTTGGTACATGCTGGGCAAGCACTCTACTAACTGAGATAGTCATCCATTTTCTCAACCCCAATGAAAGCATTCAGCAATGAGCCAACAAGTAAAGAGTTTTAGGAATTGGGACCAATTCTTAATAGGTAAAAGCACTTGTCTTGGGGTCTGGAGAGATGGTTCAGAGCACCCCCTGCCATTGCAGAGGACCTGCCTTCACTTCCTGGAACTCACATGGAGGATTAGAGTAATCTATATCTCCAATTTCAGGGGACCTAATACCATCTTCTGGCTCCGGTATAACACATACATACACATGGACAAAGCTCATACACATAAAATTTTTTTAAAAAATCTTTAAAATGCTTTCCATGCAAAAATGGCAGCTTAATTCCATCTCCAGAATCCATGATAGAAGAAAAGAACCAATTCGTAACATTGTTCTCTGAGGGTTGGAGAAGTGGCTCAGTTGTTATGAGCTCTGGCTGCTCTTGCAGAGGACCCAGGTTCAATTTCCAGCAGCATCTGGATGCTCAGAAATGTCTGTCACTCCAGTCCTGGGGGATCCCATGCCCTCTTCTGGCTTCCCTGGGCACAGGTATTCATATGTACAAAATAAAAACAGTTGTTAAAAATTTCCCTCTTAGACATACATGGTCCCCTGGAGAAGGGGAAAGGGACAAGATCTCCTGAGCAAATTGGGAGCATGGGGGAGGAGGAGGGAGGGACCCAGGAGAATGAGAAGGGGAGAGGAGGAGGGGTGAGGAGGACATGAGGGAGCAGAAAGGTTGAGTCAGGGGAAGAATAGAAGAAAACAAGAAAGGAGATACCATCATAGAGGAAGACATTTTAGGTTTACAGAGAAATCAGGCACTAGGGAAATGTCTGGAGATCTACAAAGATGACACCAGCTAACAATCCAAGCAACAGAGGAGAGGCCACCTTAAATGCCTTCCCCTGATAATGAGATTGATGACTACCTTTTATGCCATCCTTTAGCCTTCATCCAGCAGCTGATGGAAGTAGAAGCAGACACCCACAACTAATCACTGAACTGAACTGGAATCCAGTTGCAGAGAAGAACGAGTGTTGGGCAAAAGGGTCCAGACCAGGCTGGTGAAACCCACAGAAACA